TTTTCTAATTCATTTAAGTCAATTTGATGTTTATTTTTAAGATGTGATCGCATTGTTCCAGTAGATTTATTTTTTGACTTAACATAATCAGTTCTAAAAAAATTAATATATTAATTTAAAATTTTAAATAATAAAATTAAAAAATAAAACTTACGAGCATAGTTTGCATTTAAATTTATTAGTATCTTTATTAAAAGTATAAAATTTATAAACAATAGGTAAATCTTCTGATTTATTAAATTCTTTGATAATAGTATCATCAAATATAAAATCATCAAACATATTAACGATAGATTGTTGAGAATCTTGATGAGTAAGTTGTGGAAAAGTTTGTGGAATAGAAGATGAAATAGAAGATTGTAAAGATTGTTGAGAAGAAGATTGCATAGATTGTTGAGAAGTAAATTGAGAAGTAAATTGAGGAGTAGATTGTTGAAAAGTAAATTGTTGAGGAGTAAATTGTTGAAAAGTAAATTGTTGAGGAATAGATTGTTAAGAAGTAGATTGTTAAGAAGTAGATTGTTGAGAAGTAGATTGTTGAGAAGTAGATTGTTGAAAAATAGATTGTTGAGAAGTAGATTGTTGAGAAATAGATTGTTGATGTGAGGAAACTTGGTACAAAGATTCTAAAGAAGATTGAGTTGAAGTAGATTCTTGAGACATATTTAAAGCAAAAAATTTATCAAAAAAAATTAGATTTAAAAATCAAATTTTATTTAAAAATAAATTTATAACAACTATATATATAAATTTTATTAAACTATATAATTAGTATATATAATAGTTTATTAAATTACAAATTTTAATTATACAAATTACATATTTATAACTAATTTATAAACTATATAATTAGTATATATAATAGTTTATTAAATTACAAATTCTAATTATACAAATTACATATTTATAACTAATTTATAATCTATATAATCAGTATATATAATAGTTTATTAAATTACAAATTCTAATTATACAAATTACATATTTATAACTAATTTATAATATACTATATATTTCCGAAAATAAGCTACTCTTTTTTGGACGATTTTGAACATAAAAAATCAATAGTAGCTTATTTTCAGATATAATTGGTTTTTGACCAATTCTGGAAATTTTTATTAAGTAAATCGATGATGTGTATTAAGTAAAGTTTGTTCAGGAGAACAAAATACATATATCCTGAAAATTTCAAGTCAATCAGATAACTTTTTATTAATTGACTTTTGATTTTTACGTTTAACGAATATGAATTTCAAAGAACTTTTAATAAAATTTTAAAAAATTCGTCAAACGTAACATGCAAAACTGTATTAATAAAAAGTTGTCTGATGTGTATGAAACTTTCAAAATATATGTATTTTGATCTTCTGAACAAATTTCACTTAATAAGCTATGTCGATTTACATAGTAAAATTTTTATTTCACTATAGAGTAACTACTAACAATCATATGACTGATTAAATTAAATAACCTGATTCAAAATATTTAGTAAAAGTAAGTTTTGAGAAATGCATATCAAAGAAGCAAAGTTCATAATACTAATGATCTGAATTAATCTGAATTTGATTCATAACAGTAGCCCAGCTTATAGAATACTTCAACGGCCTCAGTAAACTCAAATCACACAAGAATTAGTATCATCATAGGCCCTAATTTCGAAAGTATTTGATTGAGTATATTCAATTCACAATATCCAAAGACTTTTCAATGAGCCTATTATATAGCACCAGCAACTGATTAAAATAAATAACCTGATTCAAAATAGTTAGTAAAAAGTAAGTTTTTGAGAAGTATATGTCAAAGAAGTAAAGTTCATAATACTAATAACCTGAATTAATCTGAATTTGATTTATAATAGTAGCCCAACTTATAGAATACTTCAATGGCCTCAGTAAACTCAATTTACCAAGAATTAGTATCATCATAGACCCTAATTTCGAAAATATTTGATTGAATGTATCCGATTCACAATATCCAAAGATTTTTCAATAAGCCTATTATATAGTACTAGTGACTGATTAAATTAAACAACCTGATTCAAAATATTTAGTAAAAAGTAAGTTTTTAAAAAATGTATGTCAAAGAAGCAAAGTTCATAATACTAATGACATTTGATTCATTACAGTAGCCCAGCTTATAGAATACTTCAACGGCCTCAGTAAACTCAAATCACACAAGAATTAATATCATCATAGGCCCTAATTTCGAAAGTATTTGATTGAGTATATCCGATTTACAATACCCAAAGATTTTTCAATGAGCCTATTATATAGTACTAGCGACTGATTAAATTAAATAACCTGATTCAAAATATTTAGTAAAAAGTAAGTTTTTGAGAAATATATGTTAAAGAAGCAAAGTTCATAATACTAATGACCTGAATTAATCTGAATTCGATTCATAATAGTCGCCTAACTTATAGAATATTTCAACAGCCTCGGTAAACTCAATTCACCAAGAATTAGTATCATCATAGGCCCTAATTTCGAAAATATTTGATTGAATGTATCTGATTCACAATACCCAAAGATTTTTAATAAGCCTATTATATAGTACCAGCAACTGATTAAATTAAACAACCTGATTCAAAATATTTAGTAAAATTAAGTTTTTGAGAAATGCTTGTCAAAGAAGCAAAGTTTATAATATCAATGACCTAAATTAATCTAAATTCGATTCATAACAGTAGCCCAGCTTATAGAATACTTCAACAGCCTCAGTAAACTCAATTCACCAAGAATTAGTATCATCATAGGCCCTAATTTTG